TAACAGCAGGGTAGGCTTCACTGGGATTCTATTTTGTGCTATTCCAACTTCTCTTTATTGATCTCCAAATAATGAATTGAAGCATGATGATCCTCTCCAAAGTTAAGCTTACTACCAAATGTTGTCAGGAAGTTTCTAACTGTGGCTAGAGAATTATGTGAATCTAAGCCACACCCTGGGGGCTTCCGGCTGTATGCAATTTCAGAATCTATGACCGATCTCAGTGAGCTTCATGGCAGCTACATTAATACATTCACAAATGTTTTAGAGTTGTGGTTTAATTGACTGCTGAGGAGCAAATCAACTCTTTCCTCTCCCATCATTATGCCTTTGCCCAAAAGGATGAGCAAACTTTGCAAGTTTTCAAAAATGAAAATAGTATTTTCTGTTTTGATGAATTAAAGTAATACAGAATTAAGGCTGTAGCTCAGTGTCAGAGAACCTGCCTAGCACGTGCAAGGTCCTGAGATTGATAGACAGCTCTGTAACAAACAAACAAATGTAGATATTGGGGGAGGGGCATGATTGAAGAACCTCATGAGAATAAAAAAATAAATAAATAGAACAAAAGTCGTCCATTGCATGACCCACTTTTCACCAGTCACATGCCAACAAATCTATTCCATCTCATTTTTCAAATGTACTCACATATACTTCAAAGGTAATGCAGAGTATAGATAGTTTGTGATCATTGTGATAAATGAATAACATCTTTCCACTATTGTTTGAATTGATTAAAATGATTAGCAAATGGGACTAGAGACACGGCTCAGCAGAGGACCCGAGTTTGTTTGCTAGCTCTGTTGTCAGATGACTTACAAGCACCTGTGCCATCTCCAGGGGACCCAACTACTGCTTCTGGGATCTGTGGATACCTGCACTCACATCACACGTACAAACACACACACACACACACACACACACACACACCCAGAGCGAAAGAGAGAGAGATAAATTGTAAAAATTATCAGCAAAGGTTTAATGCAAAGAAAGATCAAAGTGTCACATTAAATGTCCAGATTGCAGAGCAGTTTTATGGTTGTAGAGGATATCTTAAATACTAAGACGCACTGATAGATAGACTTCCTTACTTACCATCGGGTGTTGCAGGATTATTGCTGGCCTTCCATGTAGGCTAGGATCCTTGTATGTTAAGAGCACCGGAAGTCAGGGAGAAGAATGGACACTGCTGCCAGCTGCCTCCATAGATAAAGGATGGGCTACATACATTGTGAATGGATGTCTCATATGTGTAGGTGCCTTCAGAGGCCAAGAGAAGGTGTCAGATCCCCTCTGAGCTGGATTTCCAGGGGGATAGTGAGCTGTCTGAGGTGGGTGCTGGGAACTGAGCTCAGGTCCTCTGGAATAGCAGTATGTGTTTTCACTTGCTGAGCTACCCTTGAGCCCCACATTTCTGTTTTATCTTTAAACTTAATCATGGTTCCTTCCTGAGAAAGGACTTGGCATAGAAGGTGCAATATAGTGCCAGTAGTGTTTTCTTTAACTGAGAAGGTAAAACCTTTATCCTCATGATTTGTTTTCTTCACTCAGTGTGACACTTGACTTTGCATATCATTCTAAAGTGCTTCCTTTTGGTGCATGGACTACACAATTAAAAACAAGTATAAGCTCTCTGTCTTTTAAATTAGTTTTAACCTCTGTGGATCCATGAGCAGAAAGCATGGTGATGTTGAAGAAGCTAATGAATCCGCAGGAATCTACGATGGCCCTAGGCACTCTGTCTGTCAGAGGACAGAACCCAAGACAGCCACAGGGTTGTACATACTCTGAAATCACATGGTGTGGGAGGATATGAGTCATTCACACCACTCTAAACATCCATTTCTTCCAATGTTTGAGAGTCGCACTACTATTTTTAGTCATCTCTGTAATTTCCAATATTATAATCAGACCATTCTTTCTGGTTTTATCCATTTTCAAATGTACTTTTTTATTATTTATTTTTTTATTTTACATGATGATCCCAGTTCCTTTCCCTCCCTCCCTCCCTCTTACCTTCTCTCCCCCCCAAATATACACCCTGACCACCCTCCCCTCCCATCCCCCAACCTCAATTCCACATGTAGGGCAATGCCATCTAGGTGGGGTCATATAAATGTGTCAAGTCATTTGAAGGAGGGACTAGGCCTTCTCTCCTGTCTCTAGGTTAAGGGAGTATCCCTCCATGGGGAATGTGTCTGCAAGGTCCTTTTGTGCACCAGGAATACATCCTGATTCCACTGTCTGAGGTCTCTTAGACTGCTCAGTCATTCTAGCTGAGACCCATGTTCAGGGTTTTGAGTCAGTCCCATGCTGGCTTCCCAGCTATCAGTCTGGGGGCCCGTTAGCTCCTCCTTGTTCAGGTCAGCTGTCTCTGTGTATTTCTGCAACCTGTTCTTGTCCTCTACCTCTGCATCTGGATTCTAGTTTGACTCAGTGTTTAGTTATGCGTGTTTGCTTCTGTTTCCAACAGGTACTAGATGAGGGCTTCATGATGGTGGATAAGTTAGTTGTTGATCTCATTATCTGGGAAGGGCATTTATGGTAGCCTTTCTACTGTTGCTCAAATTGTTAGTTGGCGGCAGTCTTGTAGGTCTCTAGACCTTTCTTTAGGTTTAGTTTTCTCTTCAAACCAATAATGGCTTTTATGTTCATTCTCTTTCTCTTTCTCACAAATGTATTGTCCAATTACCAACTGTCCCTATTTCTCTTCTTTTTTCAAGAGAGCATCTGCCTTGTTTTCCTATTGCTGTGATGATACCCTGACCAAAACAACTCAAGGGAGTAAAAGTTTGTTTCAGCTCATAGTTCCAGAGTATAGTCTATCAAAGCTGGGAGTTAAGGCAGTAGAGGCTTTATGCAGATGCTCACACACATTCAGTCAGAAAGCAGAGAGGAATCTATGCTGGCTGGTGTCAGCTCACTTACACACACACACACACACACACAAACCCATTTCTATTAAACTATGTACTGCTACAAGGCTGTGGCTTACTCATAATCCCCCAGAGCGTTACTCTTTTGGCAGCTACATGGCTTTCCTCTGGTGACTCTCTGCATTCCTCTTCCAAGTCTTCTCCTGGTCTGGTAGACCACCTATATTTCCTGACTGACTACATCCTGCCTGTCCATTGACTGAAACAGCTTTATTCATCAACTAGTAACAGAAACATATATTCTATGTCTAAATAAAAAGGAAGGTTTTCATTTTAACATAATAAAATTATATATAACAAAACAGTTATCAAGCAAGAACTATAGTTAACAATATTTAGTTCATTTATATTTGACAATATTTAAAGAAGATATCCTATCTTTTTTATATGTAACATATCTTTGATCATAACTAAGGAAAACCATAACCATAACTATCTGTCTTCAACTCCATAAAGACACCAGCAGAATAATGTATCAACTCTAGAATTGACAGAGACATCTCACTTCCTGGAGGATCACCCAAAGTTCCTCTGTAATGTTGGGGCATCCATCTTCAGCCTATAGGCCTAGAGTGTCTGGCAGGCTTCAGTGAGGCAGGAAATTTGAAACTGTACCACCTATATTGTCAGTTTGTCAGTTTGTCAGTCATTTTTCTGTGTCCAGAAGACTGTCTGGCAGACTCTTCCATGAAGCAGGAACCCCAAAGGACTGTTCCATCTTGTTTTAGCAAGTTTAGCAGTCACTTTCCTGTCGGTTCTACATGTCCAGGTTATTCAGCATACAGTCAAACAGTCCAAGGAAGAACAGTTTCTTGACTAAATGACTAGTTTTGGCACATTGAAAGAAAATTTCATAAGGAGCTTCTTCTATGCCCATCGCCCATCTTCTTTTTGAAGTAATTGCTTTTAACAGAAGCAAATGTGTCTCATTGTTATGAAAACTCTAACAAACCATTTTAAATGTCATATTATATAGGTCTTTGAATGATTTTGAAGAATACCTTTCCATTTGAAATATATCTAGAAAACCTAACTAACAAGTTTTCACTATTATAGGTAACTACCTATAATCTATTTAATCATACATTACAATTTAAAGAGCTGTAAAAACAAAATACCTAAACAAGAGTAGAAATATACGTATAACAAAATTAATCTGTATCAGTAAACCAAAATCATCCATACCAATGCAAAGTATTCATTTCTATAACATATTCCCCCATCCTTTTCAGAGATTGGCTGTGACTATTAATCATTTAAACAACCCCACTTAAATGAAAACAAACATTTATAAATGATATTTGGGAATGTGTGTACTTCTCTCAAAACTGCTTCCTGCTGTTTGGGTGTGCTGTCAATCCCAAGGGGATCCTGAGAAAACCCAGAGCCCTGTCCAAATCCTAGCTGTAGTGGTCTGTGAGGCTGCATCATCTCAGCTGTTTTGGATGTTGGATCATCTGGGCCACTGTTTCAGGGGTCTTGTTTGGTGAAACCATATTAGTCTGGAAGGAATCTACAGCTTTTCATCTTCTGTGGAAACAAAAGCAGAACCTCTTTTCCACGTAACATGTCCTTAGACTTAGATTTTGAAGTCAAGCATTTTGAAAATATGTAGGTTGGATTAATCCAGCAGCATTTTATAATCAAATGCCTTTTAGCTTTTTCCTCAGCAATCAAACAATTCAAAGACAACACAATAACATTCATTATCCAGAATCTCTGTGTATTTTACATCTTTCTGTGGCTTTCTTTATTACTCTATTTCTTCATTTTTTTTTCTTTTTGAGACAGGGGTTCTCTATGTACTTTTCCCTGTCCTAGAACTCACTCTATAGACCAGGCTGGCCTTGAACTCACAGAGATCTACCTGCCTCTGCCTTTGGAGTGCTGGATTAAAGGCATGCGCAACAAACCCAGCTACTTTATTTCCTTTTTTTTTTTTTTTTTTAAACAGATCTTGCCTCAAGTTTATTTGTAAAAACAGCATAGGGCACAGGTCATCTGCAGATAGTGTGTAGATGTGTCACACCAGTCCATCTGTCTTCATGGTGGCAGAAACCATTTCTATGGGGCCTTGGCGCCTTTGGGAGCCTGAGCTGGAGCTGCAGCCTGGGCCTTAGATGGAGCCGAGGCTTCTGCCTTGGTTTGAACCTTGGGCTTTGGTTGGCAGAGCCTATGACCCTTGGCCATGTACTTTCTAATCTTCTTCCCAAGCTTGGGGTGAGCGATGAAAGCCAGACGGCTGAGTTTGCAGCCAGGACCCTTTGGCATCTTGGGTTTTACCACCTTGGACTTCACAAGAGCCTTGATGTCCTCTGCGCGTGCACTCACTGCCTTGGCGTTGTTTGCCTGCATCTTCTTCAGGCCTTTCTTGTGTTTCTTGGCAAAGCTCATGTTCCTCAGGAACTTGGGGTCAACCCCCTTAAGAGATTCATATCTTTGCGATCGGGGTTTCTTGATGCCATTTCTGTGCCATTTCCGGGACTGGTTGTGTGTGGTGTGGTTCTTGGACTTGGCCATGTCTGAATGGTATCTGGCGGCATCCGAAGAGCCTGGGACCGGAAGAGAAAGAGCCTTTATTTCCTTTTTAATAAGGACTTTCTCTAGCCTTTTTTTTCCTCTCCCAAGCTTATGTATTAATTTTAAACACACTATATACTGTTTAGAGGTTTTGTTTCTCTAAATCTGTCTTTACTGTATATCACTATCTTTTTCTGACTATGAATCTTTAATTTGTTAAACAGCATGGCTAGGGTTAAAATGATTTCTAGCTTCATGGCAGAGGTACTGGTGGGAGCCATGCTTATTCGCACAACTCCGCAGAGATTCTGGGTCTATGTCACCATTAAGAAGCATGCTGTTGTCTGCTCCTAAACACCATTTAATTGTTTGGTAGCATCTCTTCAAAGAGCCTTGCAGTTTTTGCCACTAATTTTGAGTCAGGGAGCATCCCTTAAAGTTTGCTTCTAGCTAACAGAGCCTACCCAAGGAAATGCTGCTACCAAGAAGCTGTGCTTGATTCTGTCCTTTTGTTTTTGGAATCCCTTTCTAAGCTAAATTTCTGTTCTTTGTAGGTCACCCAGTCTCAAGTATTCTATTGGAGTAGTACAAATGAAGTAAATCATCTGGCCAACTGTGCCATAGCTTAGCAGCATCAAAGGAAGTAATCTGAATATATCTTTTGAAGCCATATATAAAGACTTCTATGTGGTAGTCTGCCAGTGGATTCTGAACGTCAAAAAATTCCACGATTGCTTTCCATCTTATTTTTTTTTGGGGGGGGGCAAGGTGTCTCACAGAATCCAGAGCTCATTTATGTGGAAAGTCTAGAAAGGATCCTGGGAATCCCATCTTTCTTCCTAAATATCTGAGTTACAGGGAACCTCTATGTCACTTCTATGTGGGTGTGAGCCATCTGAGCTCAGATCCTCATGCTTTGACTACTCCTGTTTTACTCACTGAGCCTTCTCCCCAGCCCCTATAACTTATAAAAAGAGCTATTTGATAGTCTCGGCAAAGTTGAGATAAAAGCATAGATTTCTCAAATAGGCCCTGTCTTCGCCCCTATCAGAGCATTTCATTCACGGTTCCTATACAGCGTGTGTTGCCGTGTTATTATTATCCCAAGTTTACAGTTTATGTAAGCATCACTTTTGGTGTTATACATTAGATAAATTCTGACCAATGCAGAATTAGTGGAACATTGTTAAGGTATTATAGTTTCACCCCAGTGAAAATCCTGTGTTCCCATTTGCCCTCCCACTCTGCCAGTACACAGCAGCTGCTGATTGTTTACTTCCTAGTCCTGCCTTTTAAAAATGCTTTCATTCAGATGGAAACATGAATGATGTAACCTTTTCAGATTGACCTATCCCACTTGGCAATGTGCATTTTAATTTTTTTTATGTCTTTTCATGGCTTGGTACTCATTTCTTACTGGGGATGTGTAATTGTGGGTTGTCCAGAAGTATTGCACTTTAGTTATATTCATTTCTATTCAAAGCTACTAAAGGCTATGTTGGTTACTTCTAAGCTTAGGCAATTATTAATAAGTTGCTATAATCATTCTGTGCAGGTTTACATATAGGTACATGTTCCAGCTCCTCAGGAAATTTCTGGTGAAATGCAGTCATGGCTGAGTTTCTTCACTCAGCCACATTCAAAAAATAATAGGCTCACAATGGCATCTGAATTGCTTTGGAGCCTGTCCTGGAACTTGTTTTGTAGGCCAGGCTGGCCTGAAACTCACAGAGATCCTCCTGTTTCTGCCCCCCCACATGCTGGGATTAAAGGTGTGCATCACTAATGCACAGCTGGTACTGTGTTTTCATTTCCTAGTATTTCTCTCTCATCATTCTTAGAACTTGCATCTTTCTATCCACTTGACCCATTAGTCTGTGAGCCATAGTTGCTTTAAATTCTCAACATATTCAGCCCCAAATCCTCTCTGTAGCTGAGTATGATTTTGATGCTTACTTCATCTTCTCAAACTATTTTTTTTTTGTTTATTTTTGAGGTTGTGTTTTAACTGCAACCTTTCTCCTTTCCTTTTACTTCTTCCAAACCCTCCCAACTCTCTTTTAAATTTATGGCCTCTGTTATTATATGCAAATATTTACATTTATATACATGCATGTTCCCAAATATAACCTGTTGGGGCCATACAGTGTTCCTTGTATGATGTGTTCAGGGCTGACCATCTGGCACTGGACAGTCAATGGTAGTGCTCTTCCCTGGGGAGGGACGCCTCTCCCGCCTCCAGAGTCACTCAGTTGTCTGTAGTTCTTGATGTAGAGTTGAGGTTTTGTAGGCTTTTCTCCACACAGTTGGGAGGACAAACATGCCAATGTGTTTTCTTTTAAAGTTTTATTTTGTCTTACCTTTTTGACTGGCTTATATGCCTGAGTAAAGGCACTTACAGTGACGAGACCTTTAATACTATGGCAGAAGTGTGTTGTGACCCTGTAACTCTGGAACAGAGATGTAGAAAGTGTGCATTAATTTTTCCTCCTTTAGGTGCATAGTCTGGTTGAGTTAGGTATTTTCCTTTCTCTAGTAATTAACTATGAATAAGAAAAAAGTTCAGCAAATTAGCGTCTATTAAATAATTTGTACCTGGGAGGGGCTGAAAGGAAGGAAGGGAAAGGGCAAGTAAAGTAATTAAATGGTTTGCTCTGAGGATCCCTTTCTTTCTTTTTTCTTTTAAACAGAAAACAGCAAGTCTTGAAATTGTTCATTGTTCCTCTCACTGCCGGAAGCAGGAGGGTTGTTTTCTTGTCTTCACTGTGAGGACCCGTTAGAGGTCAGGAAACAAACACACAGAAACTCCTTGGTTCACCTTAGAGTTAGGTCTCCCAGAGAGCTCTCACGCTGGCCTTGTCCCTATGGGGCCTTCGACAGTTTCTCCGGTGCATCCTCTGCTGTGATCCTGGCTTTCAGGAAGTTGCCCACACTGGCAAGCTGTGGCCCTGTTCAGGGTCCATGTCTATAATTTCAGAGCAGTGGTTTGCTCTGTCACCTGAGTTCTCATGTCTGTCTAAGAAGAGTTGCAGATCTTTTTGCTTTTTCAACTTTTCACTTGTTATTACAGAGTCGAGACTCCCTGGCTTCTCAGCTGCTGGGAAAAACCAGAAGGACACAATCTTTCTGCAAAAAGAAATTTATCTTGGTTTCTGTTACTTTCTGTGCTTGCTTCCTGATTGCTTTGCAGTCAGATATGTATTCTGATATGATTACTATTCTGGGCATTAGGTTTTCACAATTTCTTACAACCTACAATTACAATTTACTATTTAAAACATGTTCATCTATGTATATCATTGTACTTTGCTCACACCCCATTGTCCTCTCTGATTAACATTTCGTTTTATTTTACTGATAGACATCTTCAAGTAATTTCTAGGAAAGGACATACGAGGAGCAAACATTTGATTTGGAAATGATTTTATTTTGTCTTCTTGATTGAACCGATAGTTTGGCTGTAGAATTTTGGATTCCAGATTATTTTCCCTTTGGCCTGGCAAACCTTATTCTATGGTCACTTAGCCCTTATTGTTACTCATTATAAGATAGAAGCTGATTTTCAGTCTACACATGCTTTTGAATTATTTTGTTTATCTTTGAAAGTCTAAAATACAACAAAAAAATCTAGTTGTTAGTTTCTTTTAGATTCCGTTTATTTTCATTCCATTTGAAGAATCCCATTATTCTTTTGAAACTCTTCTTTTTGAAATTTCAGAATTCTTTCTGTTATTTTAAAATTTTGAAATTCTTGATCCTTTCGGACTTGTTTTCCCAATTTCTACTATCTTAGATAATGCTTGCTTTTCAATTCTATTTTTTCAAAATGCTCTGCTAGTTTTTCCTGTAATGTTAAATTTTCTCACTGTAACTTTCTAATATAAAAATTTTAATCAACATAAAATGCTAAAATCTGCTTATCAAATGTTAGCATCTACTTAATTTCAACAAATGTCAATTTTTGGTGCTTTCATCTTCCCTCTTGTATATGTGTCTTCTACTATAGATTGTTTGAAATTAAGCTGAAGATGTGATGGTCATTACCTTAAATATTTTCAAATGTATCTTATAAGACTAAGGACACTTTTCCCTACTATCACAACACTATTTTCACAAACAAAAGATGTAATTAGTACTATCACATTCTATTCAGCCTGTGTTCGATTTCCTCAATTTTATGCATATTAAAAATGGATACATTCCAGATTTGTGTACTATATTGAATTGAGTTGGCTCAGGCTCTTGTTTTCAAAGGGGATCCTTCACTCTAGATTTACCCGAATTTGTGTTCCTGGTTGTTACTAAACATACTTCTCCAGTCTCTGGATTTCTTCTAATCTGGGCCTAAAGAGTTTATTATATTCAGGAAGCATATTATCACATGATTGCTTGGTTCAAGTTGTGCGTTTTATACTGAGGCATGGAGGAAGGCTCATGATATCAGGATTTCCAGAGAGTCCTGGAAGAAGGCACCTGATACCAGGTCTTCCAGAGTTCACTTACGTTATGTCTGGTCATCTTGTTAAAGCATGGCCTCCTGGTTCCCCATTGAAATGATCCAAAGGTTTTGACCTTTCAATTAGTAAGAAGTTTTTCTTTTTTGGCAATTGGTTTTTCAAACATTTTGTTCAGTGGATGAAATTTTAAATGGGCAAGAACAAGCCTGCATGGTCTGCACCGGGTCCTCTCTGTGTGTTATGGCTGTTTTAGCTTGGTGGGAGTAAGTGTATCTCTGATTCTTTCACCTGCTCCTGGGACTCTTTTTCTCTTATTGGGTTGTCTTGACCAGCCTTGATGAGAGCTTTCACCTTGTCTTTTTGTATCTTGTTTTGTCCTGTTTGGCTGTCACCTCTTGTAGCTCTGCTCTTTTCTGGAGAGGGAATGGAAGGGGAGTAAATCTTGGAGAGAAGAGAGGTATTGGGTAGTTGGGAGGAGTAGAGGGAGGAGGTAATGTGGTTAGGATGTAAAGTGTGAGAAAAGATCCTATTTACAATAAAAAATAATTTAAAAA